ATAGACATGGGCATTGTGTTCATTCTCATAGGCATTTTAATATCTACCCTGGATTGCAAATGATCTGAACTTTCATAGCAGAAAGTCTCATGTTTGAAGCACTTCCCAGTTTTCCGGGTCTCAAAAGTTTTCTATATCTGTAATAAACTTTCAATGGGAGGGAACACTCTTTCAAATAAGCAGAAAAGATAAATTTAACCATGCTATGTGAAACTTTTTCAACCAGAAACTTGCATTGTTTAGTGTGACAACTTTCCCCAAATCTGCTGTTTCTTATAATGTCACTCTTTCTGAAAAGCTTATAACAAATGGTGAAAACTGGCGTTTTCAGAGCCGGAAAAAACTGTTTAAAGTTTCAAATCAAAAGTTGATTCATTCAGAGATGATAGCTTAGATTACTTGCAGTCGTACGATGTAAAAGTTTTTTTAAGTTCTAATTAAATATTGTTGAAAATAGTCTTTGAAATTAGGAGAGTCAAGCTTAAATTTACGTTTAATTTTGTCCTCTTGTGTAAAAGAACCAATTAAGTGTTTCAAGTTAAAATTTGAGACTTTCAGAAAGGGTAGCTTAGATCATTTGCTGTGGGTCGATGTAAAAACTTTGTTAAAATTCAAAGTAACTTAGTTTAAAATTTGCGTTTTATTTTGTCCCTAAATTTGCGTTTTATTTTGTCTGCAAGGTTTTGTCGTCACTTTAAAAACATGTTTTGAGGGGTAAAAATTAAATTTTAAACAATAATGATCAGATATTCACAGCATTCACAGAAAATTAACAAGCGGCCAGTTTTTTTTGTGTGTACTTCAAATTGGAACAAGACTGCTAATATCAAAGCGGATTCTTGAATGTTCAGGCTTTCCTTTAACGTCAATGATATAGTTTTTAGCTAAATGTTTTAATTGATTTTCAAAATTGATGAAATCTTCAGAAAAATCAGATTTTTAAAAATCCTTCTCCACTCACGCTATGCAAGTACAAAGTGATGTTTTTAGCGTTTGATGACCTAATAGTTTGTGAAATATCTGGTTAACTAGTCTTTTTACAAAAGCGAATAGCTGGCTAGTGTAGTATTATATTACGACTTCACTTTTTTTCAAATAAGCTTGCCCAAGTTACTGCTGCTCCTTTTTGATGCTAGGCATGGCAATTTAATAGGTTTTGTTTCTACCGCTTTAATGGTAGCCAGCTTTTGCAAACATCAGCTTCTGATGGTACGAATTTATAGCTATTTGATTGTGGTTATTAAACAGTTATTTAGCTATTTGAGTGCTTGGAGGGCTAGATTTCGATTCCCGCAAAAAGCAGGTTTCTTTGTCCTTGCCTTTTCACTGCCTTGTTTTCTCTCCTTACCTGTTAATAGCTGCTTGTTGGCGTTTTTCTCAAACTCGTGCCTGGATAGGTCAGTTTCCTGTTTGCATGAGCTCTGAAGAAGAATTTGTAAGTGGTAATGAACGACATGATTTATCACTTGTTTAGGCCTTGTGTTGTTCGTTCACAACAGTCTTCAAAATTGTTCTAGTTCACGTTTTTTTTGCAAGTTTATTTTTTTTTTTGGTTTCAATTAAATGTTTGTGGTAAAAAGAAAGCAAGTTACGCTCTCCACTAAAAGTGTTAGTGGCGCGAAAACTTGAAAAAAGTTTAGTTTTGAGAGTGGATTCCAGTTTTTGATTTTCCTGCAGAATAAAAATTTACTCATTGATCCAGTTATATCTTATTGGGCTAGTTTTTTTTTTATAAGAATCATGAAAATAGTGAAGACGTGAATGGGACTTGGAGATTTTTGATTTGTATTTTGCCTAAAAGTTTGTTTTTGCTCAGTTTTGATTTTTTAGCGGTTTGGCTTTTGATTTATTTTTCAGTTCAGTTCATATCTTTTGTTAAAAGGAGGAGGGCAAACTTTTCGGCAGACACAGCCGAACAGGTAAAGTATAAAGGTTGCGAAAAAGTTATCGACTTCTAGTTTCAGATTTCTCAGCTTTATTCTCAGATTATTTAATTATCAGATTTCTCAGCGAAGTAAAAAATTTTTTGTTGATATTGATTCAGTGTTCTCAAATTAGGTTAATTTTATCAAAAAAGGCTCCAGTGTGAATGGCTCATTTAGTACAAGAGCTTCAAGGTATACGTTTTTTCTTTTCAACTCGCAAGTTGAAGTTTTTTTAAAGTCAGTTTCTTTTCCTTGCGCTCATTACTCTTTTCCCACTGCCAGTGGCTGTGGGTATTGAAACTGTTATCGCTGATTGCAGACATTTGCACAATGCTTTTCTCGTTACATTTGCAGCTTTAATAAGCTGAGCTGTTCAACTCATCCGTTGGTTTCTTTTCAGAAACTGGCAGGCGGCCATCTACGATTTGAACGAGATTGTAAAGTACGACGCCAGCCACTTCGACGCCAGACTGTACAGAGGTAGGTGCTACTTCCAGCTGGGCAATTGGGCCAGGGCTCTGGAAGACATCAGTGCCGCAATCCACTTGAACCCCAATGACCCCTCCCCCTTCTACTACAGGGCGTGTCTCTTAAGGAAGTAAGTTAAATTCAACTATTATCATGATGAAATTACTAAATTATACCCTAATGGGTTACGTAGCAGTACTTAGACAACCGCGTATTCAGACTCGTCAATATTTAGACAAATACTGTATTAACCAATCAGAATCGAGACAAGGAAGAAATGAATAATTAACAATTATTTATTTCGTAAATTTGCTTTCTCATCTCGGTTCTGATTGGTTAATATGGTAATTGTCTGCTTAGTGACGAGTATGAATACGCGGTTGTCTAAATACAGACCGCACTCCACCCTAATGACATGTCTTCAAGATATAATTCAAAGTGTGTAATTCTGATAGTTGAGTATTTTGCATGCGAATCAACATATCAGGACAAGAAATTGTTTGGTGTTGTTTTTTTACCCGCTTTAGCGTCTTAATATAGGAAAAGCTAAAATGTACGAATGTAAGTTATTCTTCAATGCATTGATTCAGACAATATCCCAAGGCAGCTCTGCAAGACTTCAGCGTGTCTCTTCTCCTCGATGACTCATACGATAATCGCCACTCCTTCCTTCACAGGGGCATACTCTACATGGCCCTAGATAGGTAAGCTGAGACCATACATGGTGGGTAAAAAACTCCATAGTTTTACAGTCATGGTTTCTTAAATGTACGGTAATTTGAAAATCTACTCATGCATATATGAATTTAATCGGAGGAATTTTTCCTTAGGAGTTTGTCTGTATCTGTTATGACTCATGTTTTAGAAGAAAAATGTAGATTTGCTGGCCCTAAATTTTTACAACATTCTTCAATTGAGTTTCAAATAGTAAATAATTGTGTTTCAGATAGTTGTAATAATTTCAACTAGTCGCTTTTATTAATGGCCTCTGTTTTGGTTCAGACACGAGGACGCCTTAGTAGACTTCGCTTCTGTGCTGCAGTTGGACAAGAACCTAGCCTGTGCCCATTGTAACATAGGCGTAGTACATCTTACACGCACAGAGTACTTCGACAGGGCAGTTAAACACTTCTCAGATGCAGTCAAGAGTGAACCCAACTACACCAGGGCCTACATTTGCAGGGCACAAGCTTACGAGAAGATGAAAAACGTCAGTCTATTTTTACCCTCTTCCTATTTTTCTATCACTTGAAAGTTTGTTGTATCTGCATTATACCGAGAGTGGGTTTTCATGCTGCAGTGCAATTTTTACAGATTTTCTTAGCCTGTGAATTATTTCGTTCTCAAATTAGGCAAACTTACTGTGATAGTTTTCCCACAAGTGTTCGCGAGTTCTAGTCCCGTAGATGTCTATGAACGTTATGTAATGCAAAGTGTCCTGAAAATCTTACATCATTTTGCTTTTTCTAGTGGACGTTTTCTTTCAGACATGCTTATTGGCGCTCAAAGATTTTGACTTTTCATATTCATAGTGGAGCTCAAATTTCAATTCCATAATGTACAAAAAATTGAAGTCTTCAAAAATAATTTAGTCCATCCAAAGGAATGAAAATCTATACTTTTGACTGGTATTCTTCAGATTACTTTGATTTTTTTTCAAAAAATGTCAGTCAAAACAGCTTCTGGAAATTGAACCAATGTTTTTTCAGTACAAGCAGGCGCTGTTAGATTTCACGCGTGCCATCCACATGTCTCCGAATAATCACCATCTGTGGGTGTACAGGGGAAAAGTGTTGCTGCTGATGGGTAGGACGAAAGAAGCGGCGGCCGCGGTGGAGCAAACGAGCAAAGTGGCAGACATGAAGCAGGTGGCCATACAACAGCAGTCCATGATCTATGGATTTCTCAGGGACCATAACAAGGTAAGTTTAACTGATGCAAATTACAATTAAATAATAAGTTTTATTATTGATTCAAATAACGGTAAACTTATCTTTTAGTAGTGAAAACTTGAAAGGTGAATTGCAACCAACCTTAATCTCTGGTTACAAACTTTTTTCCTGAAAATCTTTTCTGAAAACGAAACTTATCTGCACCCAAACAATGCATTGGCAAGCAATTACTCGCGATCTAGACAAAAGCAATTTTTATCAAAAACATGATAACTTTTCATTGAAGATAATATTGAGGTTATGAGCCTATTTTTCTAAATTGACCCAAGAAAGTTGAAGTACTGAAACTACCTGCAAACTTAACTTGAATTCCTCGAATTCAATTGTTGTGCATGTTTCAGACAGTAGCTGCACTTCAACAGACTGCCCGAATGAAGCCTACTGGACCAGTTCTGTTTCTTCTGGGAAAAGCACAGATGAAAGCTGGACTACTACACGAGGCCATCAAGAACTTCAATCAGGCACTGGAAGTCATGGTAATTTACAGTGTGCATTACATTACATTTACAATTTATACAGAGTGGGTAAGACACGTGGCCTTAACACAAAGGACATGGGTTCGAATCCCGCTTGAGTCACGGTTGGAGGTGTCATTTGCCTTCTCAAGGTGGCTCAGACTACGGCAAGATATATGACATCTATCTCGCCAACGGAAGCTAGGTTGAAGGTAGTGAAGAGGAAGTAGGGTCGGGCCAAATTTAAAACATGTACTTAATTAAAAATAATTATTATATCGTTGCTGAATTATAAATCTGTAATTTGGAGCGTTTATTTCTTTGTACTTTTTTGCACCTTGGTTTTTTCTACCTTGATTTTTCTAATGATACGAATATCCGCTTTCCTTTTGTATTAGTTAATCCAAAGATTTTGCTAACAAGTGACACGGTTTTCACCTCCGACTCATTACCAGCTTCCACTGGCAATGGGGGAGAGACATTAAACTAACATTTTCAGAGCCTAATTCCAGATCGATCTGAAATGCGATGAACTCTCATCTGATTTTAGCTTCCTTGGCACCACAAGCAGAAAATGCCCAAGGAGACTGCGGACGTGTACCTCAGTCTGGGCATGGCTCACTTAGAGGTGGGCCAGAACCAGCAGGCTCTCAATGCTCTCAACCAGGCCATCCACATAAAACCCAAAAACCCAGAGGTAACTTTAAATTATTGTTCAGACCATTTGAAAATTGTGAAAGACTTAGTATTCGGGATTTCTAGTTTTTTTCTTTTTTTTCCACGCAAAATCAGGTACCACAAATAATCATCGGAATGAGTGATCTATCGTATTAAAGCCCTTTCATCCTTGATTTGAACGATATTGAAAAAAGTTTGACAAAATTTTCTCAGTGTCCTAATTTCAAGCTAATAAGGTGAGCTTGCAGGTTTACAATAGCTTATTTATGCTCAATTTAATTGTGGAAACTTAGTTTTTCTAGATAAGATAATTTATGTTGTTTTTAGCGCCAATTTGGGAATCGAAAGCTTCAAAATTCAATAACGTTCTGCATAAAAATTTTAAAATAAATTTGTAAGTTTTTTGAATTTTTAAGGTTTTTTTATTCGTTTTTCTAGTAATTTTTCCACAAAAACTGTTTCCCATTTGGCCTTTTTTACTATGACTGTCGTGTATGCCTGATTTTTTCCCGTTCTCATCTCTTTATCATACCACTCAGAAAAAAAACGACACTAATTTGAATATATATATATATATAAGTAGTATAGTAAAAGTGGCTAGGAAAATGACCACTTTTAACCCCCCCCCCCTTTTTTTCGATGTGCCGTTGTACTTACCACTTTTAACCCCCAAAGGGGTTAAAGCCCCTACTTTTTCGGGCACGCATGTTTTAAGGGGGGTTAAAATTGGTAATTTTCCAGCCACTTTATGGAAACGGGAAGGAATTAAGTTTTGGTTGGTGCATGTTTTCCCTTTGACTTTGTCAGTTCAAACTTTACTGCGCGCGTTATATTGTGGATTATTTTGTAATCTTTATCGCCACGTGTGGAATTAAATAAAATGCTGTGATATTGGTAAGTTTATATTGTTGTTTTGAATACCCCCCTCCCCTCACAATTAGAGTTGTTGATTATTTCACTTTTCGGTCAAAAGAACAATTTTGAAAAGCTTTATTTCCTGAATGAAAAGTACTATAAAGCGAATCATTTACATTTATAATCAGAAGTTATTTAGTCAGAATCGTCTAATATAAAAGCACGTCGATTTAAGCACCGCCGCCGTTTAGGTGGTCTAATTTCTTCCCGCTCGTTTTCTTCCCGAGCTTCAATGTCCAAATAGGGGCAGTTGTACGCTGCTGGTTCTGACTCATTTTGCTCACTTAGCTGGTCGAAATCTACCAAATCCTGTTCTAGCTCTTGATCAGTGTATGTGGGTTGGTTGAACCCCATATCTGGTAGAGTAAAAATATCCACATAATACCCACCCTGCGCTTCTATAGCTTCAGCCAAATCCTCCCCACTTCCGTTATCGGTGGGAGTTGGGACCACGGCGTCGTCGTCTACGTCGTATTCGCCCCAGTCCATGGTGCGCCCAATTTCTCTTATGAACATATCCTCACGCAAACGTTTATGTCCGAAAGGACTAGTAGTTACTCTGTCTGCATGTATATAGCGCTTATTGTCAAATGCGCTCAGGGAAATTTTATTCGTTATTATGGTTTGTAAATTGTGATTGCAAGAATTTATCCTCACATTTTCTGACCGGACCAGCGAACAGTAAGTCAATGTTTGTTTAAACTTATTATGGGTTAGCTCCATTTTTGAAAGTTTAGAAATACCTTTAGCGCTTTTTTTGTCCATGTCTGAAACAAAAATACAATCAATTTACTTCAAATTTTTAACAGTTTTTTCTCTTTTCCACATAAATACCTCCATCCCCCCCCCTCACTACATAATCTTATGATTTGTTTTTGTTGCCCTTTTCTAAAAGGGTAATTGCAAAATGGTAAAAGAAAAGAAAAAGAAACTTACTCGAAGAAATAATGCTGTACAGTTTGGGTTTTAGTCCGACGTACTCCTGTATGATCTCCCCAGCAAACTCGTCCTTGAATTTCAGGGTAACGCGCAAATTCTCGTTGGTGTAGAGGGGGTGGGTGACTGGTAGATTTGAAAAGTCAAAATGATTTCGCAGTTCATGGTTTTTCTCAATTTCCTTGTAGAGATCTTTGCTGCGGATTTCATACAGGAACGAATCAGTGTCCGAATATAAAAGAGTTGCGTCAAAATTTTTCTTGATTATGTTGTAATGGAACTGGAACATGTAAAATTTTGCCAAATCTAGTATCGTTGCACCAACAATTGTGGGCTTATCCCAGTTAATGTTCACAGGTTTTGAGGTTACAGATACCAAGTGTTGGTCAATAATTTTTATACTGCTAAATCTTTTTTTCCTTGATAAATTTTGCAGTTCTTCAGCATTGCGAACAATATCTACAATAAGTCGATTCCTTTTTGATTCGCAGAATTTTCCAAACGCACTATTTATTATTTGCTTGAAGAAATCTTGTTCAAACTTGGTAGTAGCTTTTTTTCGGAGCTCAGTGTTCAACTGAACATATGGTGCAATAAATTTTTCTTGTCTAAACTGCAGTACTCGATTAACTTTTTCAATTTTCAAACCAAGTTTGACATAGAGCTGAAGTGTTAGGTAGTGTACAGTATAGTTTTTCTTTGGAAAGAAGTTTTGTATGAGCTTTGGCGTAGTGCCCACTTTATCCGAAATGTTCATTTTTTTCAACATGTCCAATTGAAGCTCACTGAGCCACATTTTGGACACAACTTCTTTTGTTGGGGCGAGTGGGTAATCCGAATGTGCATCATGCAAATGATCGGGGTATAAAAGATCGACGTCCAAAATGTATCCAATTTCGGATTCTCTGCTCGTGTTGAGAATTACGGCTATAGTAACTTGGTCATTAAACTCGAATGAGTTAAGTGGAAGAGGAAATTTTTCCATAATCCCGCCGTATAAATTGTTCGCGTCTATCATGAAGAGGAAAGTGTTAGGCTGTTTAGGGTCGTAATTTTTCACAAATTTATTGTTGGCGGAAACAAGTCTTTTTTCAAACACACTTGCAATGCCCCCCCTGATCAGGTTTTCTGCCATATCCAAGTGCTCCCTATTAGTGAGCAAATGGAGGTCAGCCTTACATGTTCGCAAAAATGCATCCCCTGAGAGATTGCTAACCGTGAAATATTGAGCACAATCTAGCTTATATGTTTCATAACACACTCGTCTAAACTCTTCAAAAACGCATGCAAGAATCAAGGTATCAGTCGTTAGATACAAATCGCTGTATTCGCCCAAAGTCTGACAACCGAAACGAGTGTACACTAACCATGCATGTTGGTATTCTTTTTCACTGACACTAACAACACCTCCTTGCAGCGTGTTGGTCCACTTGTCGCGTGCAGGTAGTCCATCTTCTGTGTATCTTGCATGGCTGTCAACATACGAGTAGGGGAAGTAACCTTTTTGTCGAATCAATGCTTTATCTTCTTCCGGTCGGGTAGCAAAGTGGTTATTGAGATAGATGAACTTTTCCACGGGTAGATTTCGAGCTAGCTCATCGAGTGAGCTGTTCATAAATTTACAACTGTCCACAAAACGGATTTCTTCGTAGACATTATAGACATTTCCTTTTTCGTTAGTGTACGATCTAATCCACACTTTCATTGTTAGTGAAATAAATTTTTCGTCATTGAGAGGAATGACCGAAAAGGTGTTTCTGGTATTGGTATCTTGCAGACTCTTCAGTACATGGTGCAAATCATAATTCTGGAGATTGTGGGCAAAGACAGGATTGAATTGTATGGTACGTCTCAGGAAGTTGCATTTGTTGTGAGCCCATCCGAGGAATGATCCATCGAAATGATTATGGTCCAAAACTTTCGCGTTAGTTTCGGAGAATTCCTCTTCGCAAATCCAGCATTTGTCACTGTCTTCAAGAATAGTGGTGCTTCCGAGGTAGTTCGGGTATCGTCGTTTTTTATTATGAAAGTCACGCGCCAATACTTCCAGCATTCGAACGAATTTAGTCATGGCGTCCACTCCTCGATGAAGTGAAAAAAACGCAGGTTTCGGGTTTCCAGCTTCCACAACGACAAGGCAAAAACTGCTGGGCTTATGTTTTTCAATCACGGTTGTGCTCGAGCAGTTAGGATTATTTCTCACCGTCTCCACCTTCTCCAGCACAGACTCCAAATCAAAGTAAACCGCGAATGGGCTATAGCTTCGAGCACCGATGTTTTTGAAGCCTACGCTGCTCTTGTCAGCATTTGGCATGGTAACGATTGCTGGTTCGTTCCCCATGCAGATTAACTGGTGGCGCTCAAGTCGTTCCTGAGATGAACACCGGTGGAAGCAATTTCGGCACAGCATGTTTCTCGATCTCAGTTTTCTTTTTTGCATTTTGCTCACTAGCTTGTTCAGGTCTTTTATCACGACGTAGTGATGCGTGCCCATATCGTTTAGAAGCAGCAAATCCACAACAAAATTAGTCTGATATTTTGACACTCTCAGGGGTAGAAGAGTCTTTTCATTGTACCTAGAGAAAAATTTTGAATGATATTTTTATACTAATTTTTAATGTCATCATAATAATAATTCTTCAACGAATGTGCAGCCAACCATTTGTTCTGATGTGCTTAGATACAGCTTCACACCAATAAAAAAAAAATTTGATTAAAACTTCAACTAACCTGAAGACATTCACTTGCACTTCATTCAAAATTTCGAAGCGTGCAATAGCCGGTAGTCCCATTGGGTACACAAAATCACCAGTTGGCTCGTGCGCTCTTGAGTTTCTGCGATAATCATAGAAGCTCGCTTTCTCCTCCTCTTTACTCTGCATCGTACGAAGAGTGAGCGGGATATTGTTCTGCCGATGATACTCAGCAACGAAGCAGTACTCAAAGCATCGATCGTCTTCATAATTGCGAATATTCAACAAGAAGCGTTTGAGTTTCAGTAGATCGGCTGGTAGTGGCAAGTACGATGAACCCCTGATCGGTGCAGACTTCACCATTTTTAGGACAATCTTATCAATCCTGCGGATTCTCCAGCCACTACCATGAGACGCATATTGATGGACAGTAGACAATATTTGGTCTACGCAATCATAGAATTGGTCCTGGGTCCATCCTTGAACGTCTACAGCAAGCATTTTGCAATTGGCGAAGATGGTTATTACTTCTTCTGTGCCATCTGCCTTCTCTTTTTGAAGAGTTACTTCTGCTGACAATTGAGCTTTCTGAGGCTCATACATGGTATTTTGAAGTATCAGCTCTTCGATTTCGTCTCTCTTGGTCACGAATAGCGCTAGTAGGTCCACTTCCGTTTCCATCGGCACTATATCGTATGTCCTGACTGCTCCATCAAAAGCTGTCTCAGGCTGTATAGAAGTGAGGATTTCTCGGCTCACATCCCATGCTGACAGACCGTGTTCGTTTAGCATATGCGCAGCATATGCGCGATCATTTTGGAACACATTCATGTCGTAGAGACAAATTCTTCTTTCTTCCGTTTCATCGATTGTTTTGTGACGCTCCACGACATGTTCCCAAATGATGCGAAGTGACTTATCCTCTAGTTCACAGTGACCACAGATGTAGTCGGTTTTCACAGGATCAATCTTGTGAACAGCCATTAGATGTTTTTTGAGGCTTCGCCGGTCACTCAGTTTTTTTTGGCAGAGATTACAGGGTACGACTTTTGTAGACATTGCGAGGTGGTTGTTTTTTTTTGAGAATTTTGATATTTCCGAAAGCTAGGTTCAAATAAAGTAGATACTGGTTTACAAGTCAAAAGAGTTCGAGTGATTTTCCGTTTGTTTTACGACTGCTATTAAATCTGTTTAGATTTTCAAACTTTTTCTATCATTTGCTTAATTGCCAAACAAGGAGTGGTTTCCTAAGGTGGAGCTTAGATTAATAAAATCGAGAGGGTGCTCCCAAAATGCTCTCAGATACATCAAAGAAATTAACTTCGGCTCATTAAGTAAACCTATAAAATAGTCTCATAAATCAACCAAATTTTCTGAATTAACCACAAAGTTCCTAGACAAGTTGTGTAGCTTCAAACAATTCATCGGCACTCAATTCAAAAAGACCTCACCCGAGTAGACCTAAGCCCAGCAGAGTGAAATGAATGCATTACACCGAATGTAGTTAATCATCAATTGAGCTGTCAAAGAAGTGATAAAGCTTCATATCATTAATTTTTTAAAAATTAAATAATGGGAATTTTTCATGTCAAACTTCTGAAAATCGAAAAAACCAAACAGGTCAATTTATTGTTTTTTGATTTTTTCTTGTTTTTATTAACTTCATTCGGCGTATATGTTCACTGATTCAGGTATCTGTTGGGTCCTTTGCAGTGTTTCAGCTTTTACTTTTAGATGGTTTCCACTGCAGGGTTGAGAGGAGCATTGGCTCAGTGGATATGCAGTCCTTTCAAAAACCACCAAATATCTTTTGAAACGTGGCCGCCTAGACTCGAAAACGGCGGCTACGCCTTGTTTTCGACCCCGCTGAGTCTAAAAAAATTGGTTTCATCCATTTCTGAGCACGGCTTCATAGTGAACGACACTTAGCCAACGATGAATTTTAATGAATTTTGATTTTCTCAAAAATAACATTTCAAAAAGCGTTGTATTAAGGAACTGGGGGTTTCATCAGCCGTAATACCCTTATAGCAACAGTAAGAGATAAAGTTGCAGTTCACGAAATCAATTTTTGGAATTTTTTGGACAAAAAACAAAAACAAAATTTTGTTTACTTTTTCTGGTTTCGGTTTTGAACAGAAATAACTTGTTAGGTGCTGCATATACAGGCAAACTTTCATTAGCTAAGTTGATCACCTACTACTGGTCGAAACCAGAGGATAATTTTTGATACCACTGTTTGTTTCAAACAAAATTTTGAAACTCTTAATTTTTTTTCAAAAACAAAAAAAATTTAAAATATGTTTCTTTTTGTTTAGTTTTATTCTTTCAAAGATTTCTGAAAAAAAAAAGTTAGAGAGCAAGCATTAAATTAGAAAAATTATAAACAAAACGTAAGCAAAGATTCAGCCACAATAATAAAAAAAACTTATCAAACTAAAAAATAAACCCCAAACTGGTGCACTCTCGGTGGAAACAAATTTTTTTTTGAGTTTTCAGAGATCTCTAAATTGCAGTTTGCGTTTTTTCGGCGCATAGCAAGCATTGATAGGCGGTGTCTCAGCTACTAACTTTGGTGCAGTGGGACTTTGACTGCCGGAAAAAGAAGAAGCAGAAGAAGTTTGCTGCTGCTGATGTTGAGTGATTGAAAAGATATCCGGTTTTATTGGGGTTTTGGGCGTCTGCTGGTCCTCATCTTTTTTCTCTGTTGAATCTGGTGATTCAATCGACTCAATGTTCCAGTAGTTTTCTCGCTCTGCTAAATCTCTAATGGATCCTTCCTGATTTTCGTAAAAGGGGATCGATTGGCAATCGTAGTTGAACAGTATTTTTCTCGGTGAACGATCAAGGCAAGTAGGGTCTTGAATATCTGTGCGCTTCAGCGCAGGATACGATTCAGTCACACAACAACTCTCGTAGACCTGTTTTCTGCTTTGTATGAGGATACCAATTTGATCTAGCAAATAATGGGGTAACATCATATGGTTTTTAGTGACCCATTCATCGAATTCTCTGCTTCCTGGATCAAGATCGTTCAAAGGACTTGCGTTTCGATGACGCATTTTCCGTTCCTGTTGAACCACTACGATAGAATCTCTGGTATAAGTTTGGTACAATATAGCTCTTTCAAGTGAATTAATTGAAATAATTTGCAGTGGAGTTGCCATCGTTGAAAATTTTGTTTTGTTTGATTTTGAGAGATTGAATGAAAATAGTGAGTCGATTTAGTTTGACGTACCACTTTTAGTTTTTTATTGCTGGTGGTCTAGTTTTAGCCAATTACCATAGATCGGGTTTTGTAAAATTTTAATATGTTTTCAGGGCTTTTGCAATTAAAGTAGAAATGTGAACGCTTTGAAAATCTATACTTCAAAGAAACAGCATGGCGCCTTTTTATGATACCCTAAGCACAAATGACAGAAGTTTTACACTTCAAAGAGATAACAGGCATGCCGCCAGGGTAAAACCGTTGAGATTTATGAGCTAAAACGGGAATTTGCCAGACAGATTTGACATGTATAACTTAAACTCATAAATTTCCAACTGCAAACTAATTAAAAGTCCCCAATGAAGCTTAAGGAATACCGTAAAAGAAATCGCCCGAGTTAAGCTATTCACCGGCTGGGTAAATCATTCTTAAATTGTCTCTTGACTGATACGGTTGAATAAAATTACCGCTACCCAACTATGTACACGCTTGAAAGTGATACTAACTTTTTTGATGACTTTCGTGATATTTCTTCAGGAGAAAAACGTATAGTCAGAGTTGGAACAAAAACATTTGAAAAAACAGGTACCTATATTACACTAAAATTGTTTAAGAAAACTGACGAAGAAGTGTTCAAAATGTATCAAGCAGTTACTTTGACGACGAAAGAATTTGATAGCTTAGCAGATAATTATTCAAAAGTAAAAAAAATGATCAAAGCACCAACTGGTGAAAAGATTTCAACTTCCACAACAGGAAACGATAAACCTCAAAAACGACGATATAAATCAAAACGATCGGTTTACTCCGAAAAAGACTGTAATAGTGAAAACGGAGAGGATGATGAAGAAGATTATTCCAACAAAAAAAGTAGAGTGGCTTGAGTAATTGGAAAAAAAAAACCCAGTTTCATTTATTAATTATCAGAATGGTTGAAGCAATGTATGAACAATCGCCGGAATACTTTAAACAATTTCGGAAAAACTTTAAAATTTTTTTTCTGAACAATGAACCCGACGTTTCTGACCTTCCTTCTAATACGAACTTTGCATTTGCAGTCCATTCAAATCAGAACGATTTTTGTTCCCAATCTCCTGCCAATGGTCAGCCACATTACCACGTTCTTATCGAAGTTACAAAAGAATGCACTGAAGCAGTTAACAAGATGACCTTAAAATCTTTTATTGTGCCTTGCCTCCTTTCATCCTTTAAATATTTGATTATGCGGTGCAGCAAATATCATCTATCAGGACCACTGATGGAAAAAATGAAATTGGCTGTTAACTACAATTCGACTAACAACCTTGACACCGCTGGAGTTTCTTTGCGAAAACGATTGCCACAGATTTGCTTTGCATCACAGACTCGATCCATTCAAACTCAAACTGATCTAATTACTAATGTAACCATTGA